TATGTATATGCGTGCATATAACATATGTATATATGTATGTACACGTCGAGTAGCTAGAATAGAAGCAGCATCAGCATCAGCATCAGCAGTAGTAGCAGCAGTAACGTTTCCCTGGCACAAACCTCCGAAAGCATATCGATTAGGTTTCAGGACACATACACACACACACACACACATACATAAAGACACAAACATTCTCTCGAGCCAATGACGTCCCGTACGATGGACATTGCGGTTAATGTCGTCCTCTCATGTAAGAACGAAAGCTGAATCTAGAGGAACGCCAATGAGAATTTTCCTTCCATGGGTTTTCTTGCCTTTTTTTGTTTCTTCTTTCTCCTCCTCCTATAATGCAAGAATTCCTTTTTCTCCTCTCCGTAACTCGGTCATTCTGGTAAATTTCTATTAACAGATATCACGTTCCTACGAAAGTTACTTAAACATAAAAGAAAAATGATGAAAAATTCACTACTCTACTGGTTTTGATAAAATTCTCCTGCACCGACACACTCGTTATTGTCAAATGCAGATTCGTTGAAATAATATATGTTGAAATTTACTCTAACGAAAGAATAAGAATAATAATATAATTCAATTATATTCGAGAGTCGTAATAATATCATACAATATTCTATAAATATGTATTTAAATTATACTTTATAATAATTCTCAAAATGATATATGAAAATAATATAACGATAATTTTTAAATATAATATATAATAATATAATATATATCTTATTAAATATATTTCCTTCTAATTGATAAAAAAAAAACCAAATTAAAAAAAGGTGGTTTTTATTACATTATAAGAGAAGAAGAAGAAGAAGAAGAAGAAAACTTCTCCAACTATTTTCCATACTATTTTCGTATAATCGATAAAAATATTCTTTAGTATCGTTCATTTTTTCCTTTATTTTTCTTTCCTTTTTTATTCTTTTATTCTTTCTATCTATCTATCTATCTCTGTATCTTTCTTGAAAGCTTTACAAGTATATTCGAGGAAGTAGTTCTCCTTTAAGGATTCTCCGTTGTCGTTGGTTAACACCGATGTACATAGATTCAACCGTCGGCCGCCTGCATTAAGATATCCACGACTCTATGGAGTTAGAGAAATGGGTACGGATTTACTTCAGAAACGTAGGGTCTACCCGTTGTCCTATCCACAAGATGCTTTACAAATGAATACAGGACAAAAAACGCATTACGTACTAATCCAACTCGTATTTATATCTCTGCGTCAACTCTCGTTGCGATGATAATATATTTTTCAAGAGAAAATACATAGATATACATATACTTATTTATATACATACATACATACATGCATATATGCATAGATATATATATGTGTGTATACTTTTGTTAACCAACTACGTCATTTCCTCGAGAGAAATCAACTTTTTCATTTTAATGAAATTTTTCTTATTTTTTATTTTTTTTTCAATTTTAAAAAATTCTGTGAGATGTTCATTTATATTAAGGATTACTAACTAAAAGAATATATTCATTATTTTTACGAAAGACAAATAATTTATATTTAATTATAAACTAAATCGGAGATGAGACCCCAGTCGTATGACAATCTATATTTTTTTTTTTTTTCAGTTAAAATTTCTACATTCGATTTTATTGCTTCGCTTTCTTTTGTTTCAAGGCAAAATCAAATCGTAACGAATGTAACCTATTTTTTGTTTTTCTATTTTTCCTTTAAAGAACAGTTTTTTTCGATAATTATTATTTAAATAGGTTAGCTTAAAATGTTTATAATTAAACTGTAATATCTTTTTCTAATAGAGGTAAACCGATCGATGATAATTTTTTTTTTTTACAAAAACAAAGATTGATGTTACATTATAATTAAAAAAATAAAATATAAATTGATCGCGAATGTAATACGAAACTTTGACATGACGAAGTTATTTGAGAATACTTAAAGAACATCGATGAAATAAGTAGTTTTTAAACCGTGAACGTCGTCCTCAATATTTCCAATTTTAGTTCGACGTCGAGATATCGAAAATTGACGGTAGTTTGTTCCTTTCCTATCAGTGGACAGAATCGATCCTCTTAGATACCTTTTTAACCAATTTTTATCTCTATTACTGTAAGTTTCCTTTTTTTTTTTGCGGCGAAACCGTTGATTCCATTTTATTTTCTTCTTCTTTCTTTTTTTCTTTCTTTCTTTCCTTATCTCCTTCTTCGATTATAAAATTAATTGAATATGATCTTTACCAATGGAAACTTTCAAACCTTACCAATTCTATTGACTTTATTATTTTTTTTCCCCAAGTATTATTTACATTTAGAAAAACTTTGACAAATATTTTAGCTTCTTAATTTAAGCGGTTTATTATTATTAAAATAATACAAATATTTCTTTATTACTTTTCCCCGTATTTTTGAAATTATTTTAAGTAGAAGTAAATAAAGGGAATAGAAATTGAACGAATTGAAAGGTACGCGTTGTATCGAACATTTGTTTTTTCTTTTTGTTTTTTTTTTTCATTAATTATTATCGACAAGAACAACGATCTTTGAATAGACGAACGTGATTTACGTATGATTTTTTTAAAATAATAATCCGCCTTAAATAAGATCTATCGATTAACTCTTTTAACCCCTTTTTTTTCTACGAGTGAATAAAGTAATCAAGTTACGAAACTTTCTCATTTTTCTTCTACAAATTAATATTGGATAACAAATAGAACGAAAGGTAGAAATCGATATGTGAAAAAAAAAAAAAGAAAAATACTGAATTATATCGAATGGTTTTTATTTGTAATACGAAACTGTACGTTAAATTAAACTCATCTACACGATGATAATTTTACAATATATTACTTATTCGTTCATTTACACATTTACTCATTTACTCATCGATTGTGAATCATTTAGAATTATAATACGTATACGATTTTGTACAAAGAATGAAAGCATGGAATTTTCATCAGAAATAAAAAGAATTGTTTTACTAAAAAGAGACGATTAAAAAAAATCGAAACTTTGGGAATGTATTCTAAATAAATTTACTATTATTACCAATACAGTTGGAATATTCGAAAGAATTTGTTAATCATTATAATTCGACGAATGATAAACTCTGCATTCTTACACAGAAAAAAATTATCGTAAAAATTGTTTTATATATATAATCGTTACAATTAATCATAAATATCTTTAAATAGCATATATATCTTTTACGAACATAGATTTGATCTCACAATAAATACGTAGTATATCTATAATCTCAATCATTTTGTGGTATTCTCTATATAAAATAAAAAGGTAAAAAGAAGAAATTAGATAAAAAAAAAAGGCCGCACTCACAAAAAAAAAAAAAAATACATAGGACGAATATAGAGAGAAATAACGAAGTTCAAAAAAGCAAAGAGCGAGGAATAGCATCGATGCGATTAAACGAAATACGTTCGAATCGTCGTCCGATAGCCGTAAAAGCGAGTTCGAGAGGTGCTTTTAGTCGCAATGAATACGTGTAGCGGTTCACGGCCACTGGAAAGTGGATACCCCTTTTACTCAACTTAAAACTCCGAAATTCGTCTGCAAGGGAAACGAGCGTTCTCCTGTGTATGTAAAGTAAATATCTTTTGAACGACCATAAACGAACCCGGTTTTCATTTGTAATCGATACGAAACGGTCGCCTTTTTTTTCTTCTTTTTTTTTTTTCTTCCCCCCCCACTATCATCAATAAATTTTACGCTGATTATTCATGATCGCGTGTTATAAATAAAATAATAAACAAAATCGAACACACATTTTAAACGTATGCAAATATTATATCGTTGATCGAACGTTCTATGCAAAAATAAAAAAAAAAAAAGAAAAACAAATTATAAAATATCTCGTTTCAACTAATCGAGATATAAAACATAATAGAAAAGAAAAGATATCGTTGTTACAAAATTTGATATTCAAATAATTGAAATAATAATACACAATACTAAAATACATATAAATAATTTACGTCAATCAAGTGTATAGTTTAAAAATAAGTACTAAAGTACATTATTTCCACACATGATACATACACACACACACTCATATATATTTATATTATCAAGGATCAAAAGTTTAAATAAAAAAAAATAATAAAATATCTCGTTTTAACAGATCGATAGTGTATCAATAATATACATAATATATAAAAGAAAAAACAAAAAAAAAAAGAAAGAAGAATTGCGAAATTCAACAATTTTCCAAATTTCTTCAACCACCACCCCATTTTCTTTTTCTTATCTTATCAAAGAGTACGGTGTATACACGAAGAACAGGAAGACCGACGTTACGGTGAAAATAACGCAAAGCCGCGAGAAAGGAAAAGAGAACGGAAGAACCTGCGCGTTTGAGATTTGCACGGTAAACAAGAGAGAGAGAGAGAGAGACAGAGAAAGACAGAGAAAGAAAGAAAGAAAGAAAGAGCTTTTTGTACGTCGGATTTGTAAAATTGATTCCACCATCGAGTCCGTGTTTACGACGTCGCCCGCTGCACGAACGACAAGCCGTGGCCCGAGGAAAAGAAAGACGATTTATTTCGCGTCAGCTTTTTTCCCTTTCCCCTCCTCTTTCCAACCCCTTATCCACCCTCTCTCTCTCTTTCTTTCCTTTCCCCTTTTTTACTCTTTCTTTTTCAACTAAACGCCACGGACGTTCCGCGTACATTCGCCAAACGATACGAAAGGAGAAGACCACCACCAGTTCACCAACCTGTTTTCCTCAAGCCTCTTATCGACGACCATTCCCCACTTTTCCTCCCCCTTCCTCCTCCTCTTCTTCCTCCTCTCCTCCATCTGTCCACGATTCTCTTACTTTCCGCTTCGAAATTCACGGACTCGTACCTTTTCCCTTTCTTCTTCTTCTTCTTCTTTTTCTTCTGCGGATTTTGTTCCTCTCTTTCTTATCGACCTCTTCATCCTCCTCATCCTCCTCCGACTCCTCTTACCCTTGCCACCCCTATATCCCTCACCTACTCTTCCCCACCACCCATTTACTTCCTCTCTTATCTTTTTCCTTTTCCACTACAAGCTTTCTATGTTGCCACGAGATTTTAATGTCAATGTACGTCTTTCTCAAAAAGCTCTTCCTCGTGATCGCGAACAACGGCAAGAAAGTAAATTTATGAGCCCCCTTCTTTGTATTTCCGCGTCTTCACTTTCATCCCCCATGCGAAACGATAGCAAATTGTATGAGTATATGTAGATTTATATATCAGTAAGTCGTAAGAAAGTATATTTTGTGAAATATAAGAATATATATGTTATTATTCTAACAGTATCTCGATTACCATAAAACTATATGATTTATTATTTACAAATAATTAAAAAAATCTCTTTAATAGACAAATATATAAATTAACAGCATTTTTGTTTAGAACACAATTAATTTGTTCTTAAAACATTGTATTAATAATAAATATTATTTGGTTATTTTAATTAATCAATGATTTATGATCTATATTAGAAAGAAGTTGAACGAGTAATTTATTAAAATTATTTGGTAAAAATTAGATTCAACGTGACAAAAAGATAATTTCAACTGAATAATTCGAAGTATACTCACCGATGACGTTTAGAGTATAATTCAACGACATCTTCGGCTCGGTGCTGACCTGGCACTCGTAAACCCCGGAATCTCGTTCTTGAGGTGACTTGATCTGCAACGTCCAGTTTTCAGACTTGTCCGGATGGATCACTTGGAACCTCAGATCTGAAGTATACATAAGGATTCCGGCGCTAAGGATATGCATATCCCTCTTCCGCATCCAGGATACCTACAAAGTAAGAGTATGTTAAACTAAACAACATCGATCATTCTTTTTTCTTTTTTTTTTAAAGCTATATTCGCAGTAAATGCAGTAAGAAATATTCGAGTCACCTCCCCACTGTATATTTAAAACGATCGATATTTTCTTTTAATGCAATATTTTTCAATTCTCATATCTGTGTATGTGTAAACATATTTTAGAATTATGAAATATTATACGAATTTAAAATAAATAATTAAATAACGAACGATATGAGAAAATAATCATAGAAATACGTATACAGTGAGTCCCAGAAGTATTCGTATAACCCTATATTTATAAAACAATCAAATACTCTTATCAGATCAATATTTGTGATCACAATTATTTGAAAATGTAAAAATAATTTGATAAAACATATATTAATTATTCAAATGTTCTACATTTAGATAATCAATATGTTTTTCGTTATAATATAGAAGTAAGTTACTTTAAAAGGTAAATTTGAATTATAACCGAGCTAAATTCAACTATTTAAATAGTCTATCAAAATGAACTTTAATGAAAGACAAATAATGAACACATAAAAGCTTGTCTAAATAAATCATCATAGGGGTTATTTTTACTGTAAACAAAGATCGATATCAAACGTATTTCGTCTAGGGTATTTTATCGTTAGTTCGAGATTCATAATGACATTTATAGGACTTTATAACAAATCAATGGGAACAAATAAAAAAAAAAAAAGAAAAAATCAAGTAGAGAGAGAGAAATCGTCAAGAATTTAATGAACTCGGTGAAACTCAAACGAACGATTCACCCTGTGTGATTTCGTATTGTACAAACGGCCACAGGCTAATTTTGGCATCGCAGGATCACCGCAAAATAGAAGAGGAAGAGAGAGGAAGAGAGAGAGAGAAAGAGAACTCGGAGTTTAGCAACAGTAATACTAATCTAAACGAGCGATAGTAGGAAGCTACTTGTATCAAACGGATTGATCGTTTCTACCAAACTCACGATCCTCATCGATTGACCATGAATGTCACGTTGGAAACTGAGTTCCTTATGAAAGCTTCTACAACCACTAAGTGAATCCAATATGTGTGATCAAAAGCATCCCACAACATTCTATGTCGTATACCATATACCAAAAGTCTCTATTACAACTTCCTAGTTGTTTAATCGATCTTCTATCTATTATCGATCATCTCGCTCAAAAATTCATTATAATATTAACTATTTTTCGATTATACAAAAATATTATATATGTATTTAAAAATAATGTGATTGTTATTATTAATAACACGTATTCGTATAAATCGTATTAAAGTTTATCTTACAAACAAATAAACGTTATTATTCGATCGAGTTATTCGTGTTAATAAAAATAAATACAAAATTCAAATAAACGATCAATATAAATGAAGGAAAAGAAAAAAATCTAATAAAAATTATCCCAGAAAGAGAATCTTTAATTTATTATTTTTTTCAAAATAAAATATCTCGAGCAGTAAAGAAAATTTTCTTTGAAAAGCTTTTCTTAAATCAGTATTACATAACATGGTAAACTTATCAAAAGAGAAAAAAAAATGGACAAGAAATTTCGTGCCTAATAAAGTAAAGGTCTTCTCTCTTACCATTTATCTCCTCGGAAGATCCTTTTCAAACGACGTCAGTTGACTTACTGACGACTAATGCGTGTTTCTTATAAGTAAACGGATATTCACGAGGAACAGCAAAGTCACGGATCTAAATAAAAACATACTAGGTGGAACGCACCAACATACGGTGTAGCCGAGTTCCGTAAACGTGTTCAAATAATAAAGATGTAGTTTAATTTTGTTGAAAATTAATATCTCTCCCTCTCTCTCTCTCTCGCTCTTATTGAAATAGTTGATTATACGAATCTGATAATTATTTTTGCAAACACACAAAATGATGGATTTTTAAATTGAAATTCGATTCTATCTTTTTTAAATTATATTTCAAAATGTTTTCTTTTTCCTTTTTAGAATAAATCAAATAATCAACTTTTTTTGTAACTATACAAAA